TTAAATATAATTTTCCTACGACTTTAAAGACCTGTAGGACCACCTGAGAAAATGTCCTTTAATTGAAGCTGGTACAGATGTGCTGCTGGTTTCCTGGGAACTGCAGTGAGACAGAACAGTGTTGCAGGGTGAGGAGAGGCTGACCTGCAGCTGCTGACTGAAGTTGGCTTTAACTTTTATTGCCTGTTGGTCTGAATGCGAAGGGCTCCGTTGAAGCTGCCCAAGGAAGTTCAGTTTCTCCTCACTGTTAACCAGTAACTCCCCTCGGATACGTCTGTGTGTCTGAAGAAGAGCATAGAAACAATATTTTCCTTATAAAGAACCAGCAGTAAACAATAATAATCATTCTTCCTTAAACTGATATCTGATGGATTGGTGCTGCACCACAAATCACACAATATGGTCAATAATCTTTAAAAAGAGTAAAGGTCACATACTTGCCAACACCATAAATCACCTGTTCCTGTTAGGATTAAGAAGACTTAAACGTTTTACTCTGTCGCCATCTGCTGGCAGATCTTATTCTAGCATCATTCAACTTAGCAGCACCAACAGTTATATTATATTCAGTGAGCATCAAATATTGGTTGGTCATTTTCACGACATTAATCGTTTTTTTACACCTTTTCAGAGGAAATGCTGATTCCTTTAGCTCCATTACCTCCTTGTTTACTCATTGCACCATTTGCAATGTCTTGATCCTGATCTTCTTACGGTAAATACAGTTAAAACATAAATAAGCCATGTTTGTCTTTATATAATTTAATATAATTGTATTTTTTTCCCTTGAATTAAACAGGTAAGTGAGACAATTTGCAGATAAAATAAGATGAATTAAGCTTAAAATAAGAGAAAACAAGCCTGTTGTCTTTTTTTCCAATGCATAATATCTAATTTTAAGCTTTTAAAGGCAGAAATATTCTTTCTATTGACAGATCATCTGATATAGCTGCTCTAGTGAAGAGCAAATACACAATTACTTATTTTTAGGCCAGCTTTTTGAAATATAATGATGATTGATTGAAGCAAATGCTCCTGCAACAAATTAGATTTTCTGGCTGTTAGAAATAAAAACAGAAACCTTACCTGGTTGTTGGTGAGAGTCAGGCAGACCTCAGAGTCTGATGGAAAAGCATCGGAGCTGAAGGTGTGAATGAGTGTAGAACAAACCTGCCCAGCAGATCAGATGGAAACATTTACCCCCTAAAGGCAGGCGTAGAAAGTATTGACAACC